AGAGAGAGAGAGAGAGAGAGAGAGAGAGAGAGAGAGAGAGAGAGAGAGGAGGAGGAGGAGGAGGAGGAAAGAGAGAGGAAAGGAGAGAAGAACACGGATGGAAACGAAGGTCGTCCGTTGGCCATAACGAAGTGACAGGTCAATATTAACTTGGGCGCCAACGCTCGTGCGTTCACGAATTCACGAGTTCGATATCCGGCGGAAGTAATCGAGTTCGGTAGTAGAGGAGGAGATGGAGGTCGGCCACCCACCCGGATCGATGGAAATTGTCGTCCGAGCGGTAATTAATCGAAACGAGTGTAAATAATTGATCGACGCGGAATCGTGAATAATAGAAAGCGGAAATCGGTATATAATTTCCAACGAGGACCATTATGTGACCATTAATCATTTCGAAACGCGCACCTTCGAGGTCTGGTTTCTTGCGAAGAAATTGAATCCGGAGAAGATTGGGCAGATGTTTGGGGTCAGCGTTTCGTTTCGACTTTGGTCGGCCGGAGCAGCGTCATCCCAACGCCGATGATCGGCGATCATCGTTCTCTCGGTTGGGAACGTGTTCGTAATTGCGCTTCCGGCCGCCTCGAGTAGAAATTGATGGGGCAAAATGGAGACGCTCGCGACGCGATTTTTCACGATCAAGTTCAATCGGTGGACGTATGTATGTATATATGTATGTACAAACCGCCCGTCACCCGCTTCCCCATTCGATGCACGAGGGATGCGCGCGTTAATCGTGGACAGTGACTAATGTTCCGTGGAACGGTGGTGGTGGTGGTGGTGGTGGTGGTGCTCGTTCGAACAGACGAGGAGGAACGTGGCCGTTTAGGGGGAACGGTAATTCGCAACGTGACGTTACGTTACGAACGTTGCTACAGAGCGAGAAATAAATAATGGGCCGACTATCTATAAAAGTTTCCTCTTTTTCGTCGATACCCCATTCGAATCCGACTCGATTATCGAATAAGAAAAAAAAATTCGTAAAATCGAGCTGTCTGTCGAGAGAATCGTCGTTTCCTTGCGAGTTTCTCTGCAATTATACTCCGTGCCACGATGAAAAATATTTTCCTCCCTCGTTCTTTCGACCGACGAGTCGAGATTTCGTTTACTCAACCGACCATTTCTCTCTCTCTCTCTTTCTCGTTTCGACATTCTTATGAAATCCGTAGGAGACTCGTCCGTGCGAGACGGAATCACGTTAATGACAGAGAATACGGGGCTGGGCGGAAAGCCGAGAATGGAAGACATTTAACAGCGGAGATCGACGTTAATCGTCGCTCGGTCATTCCTCACGGTTTCCTTCCTAACGGATCTTTCGAGTGAAGATGTTTTCACAGAGCGTTTTAACGATGTTCCTCTTTCGTCTGAATGCCGCGCAAGACACAACAAGTACGTACGTACTTTCTTTTCGTTGGCGCAAGTACCAACGTCGTTTGTGCGATGAAAAGAAAGAAGAAGAAGAAGAAAAAAAAAGAAAAAATAAATGTTTTAACAATGTTTTTCGTTCGAAACTTCTTTCTCTATACGTGTCTTGTTGCGTCTTAACTTAAACGCGTTAAATAAAGCAAATATCGATGTTTAATTAGGAGGAAAAAAGTGACCTTAAAATGACCTTTATACCCCTCCCCCCTAGAAAATGTTAGTTTCACTCGAGGAAACACCTGTTCACGAGCTGTGCACTAATATTTACCAGAACCGCTCGCTCGTCTTTGCCTTTTTTTTCTTTTTTTTTTTTTCGGTTACGAAACCAAACACCCTTCAATTCGCAACCGCGAACGACACCCTCGAGGAGCCGAGGAGGGGGTCCCCTTTGGTGGACAAGTCGCGCCTAACGAGTGAAAGGAGGGATTTCGCTTCGAAAGGATCGAAAAGGGAAGGGAAAAAAAAAAAAATAAAAAAATAAAAAAATAAAAAAAAGGAGAAAACACGGAATCGCAATTAAAACGGAAAGTTGGAGGTTTCTCATCCACGGATGAAATTATATATATCGAGAAAAAAATGTTGAGTTTCGTACTCACTCTTGGGGGGCGAGCGTGGAGAGTTGGGGCGGGGATGGTTTCTCCGCTTCCGTGTTAATTATTGGGCCCTCGGGTGTTCGCAGCGCGGCCTCCATCGCCGCGGCTTCCTCCTCCTCCCGCAACTCCTCCGAGGCTTCCTCCGGGATCGTGGTAATGTCCTCTATAGGAGGCAGCTCGTTCCCATTCTCCTCCAAATGATTCTCCATCATCGGGTCCGAGTTGTCCCCTGGACGCGCCACCTCCTCGATGTCCGAGTCGATGCCCTGCGCCCGTGTCATTTATCGTTATTATTCCTTCCCCCCCCCTTTTTTATCGATCGAAACAATAGGCTTTTCGTGCCTAGACAACAGATTTCGCGGCGCTGCTTTACTTTAAAGTCACCCCCTCCCCCCCCTTCCCTCAGTGTGCATCGACGAGGAAGTTTCGTCCAAGTGACTTCTTCGTCCATCTACTCTACGATCGAAGAGACCTGCCTCGTCGAGCAAGCTAGCGAAAATACTTTCCAATATTCGAAGGGGAAGGCCGCGCGATACAAATTTTTCGTGTCGTGACATCTATCGATATACGTATCGATGTACCTGAGCAAAATCCATGTAGAAGGAATCCCTGGAGTCGGAGCTGCCCCGCCGAAGCCGGAGGCTGAGATCCGGTGAGCTCTCTCCCATCTTTCTTATTTCCTTTCTCGCCCGTTATTTCCCTCCTCGCCTCTTCCTGTCTTCCTCCCCTCTGCCTGGCGCGGCGCCTTCTCTCTCTCCACCCCTGTGCTACCACCAACCCCCTTTGTCTTTTACGAGCTTCTTGCTCCACGGACGGGGAATTCTAAAGAGGGTGGCCCTGCACACACAATCCACCGAGTTTGCAGCCTGAAAGAATCGTCCTTGAATGACGGATCGTCGTCTCCTTCTATCATCGTCTCTTCCCGCGCTTTTCTCTCTCTCTCTCTCTCTCTCTGCTCTCCGTCGCTCTCGCGTCGGTCGTTGGAGGCGAGCACGCACGAGCGAGAGAACAAGAGTTTGCTGGTCGTTGGCGCGAAACAAAAAAATACCCCGGCAAGAAAGAGGAAGAAGGGCCGGCGTGAGTGGTCGTACGTGAGTCCGTGAATACGGAGGATCCGGATCTCTGAATATCAAACGTCCGCGCGAATTAAAATTTCACCCCATCGTCCCGTGCTACTTTCGGGGATCACGCGCGATTCGGGGACAACACGCCTCGGATGGAAAGAGAATCCGTCCCCTCGACGAGCAGAGGGAGAGAGAGAGAGAGATATTTGGAATTTTCGAATCGACTCCTCCTTCGTTCGTCGCCGATCGATCGATTCGAAGGGTGGCCTTGGAGATCTGCATCGATCCATCGATACGGAGGAGGCGTCGGTGGTAGGATAGGCGTGATTACCGGCCGCCCCGATAACTGGATTCAGTTACGTCGAAACTAATTACGAAAGCTAGGAAATTCAATGGGGGCCTCCTCCGTTTGTCTTCGACTTAATTGCCTTAGCCGCGACTCCGACTGGCTGACTTTAATTAAAACTAGAAGTCGGTCTCGCGGCAACGCCGTCTTTCGAACCACGAGTGGAAAAATCTCGTTCTCGCCAACGAGCTTTTTTTCCACCCCCCACTCCCCCCATCTTTGCCCTTCTAATTAAGTTCGACTCGATCGAGAGACCAGGCTCGAAAAAAATAGAGCGACTCGTATATATCTGAGTTTAGTTTGCTTCGAGAGCGACGTAAAGGAAGAGCGGTTTAACTGCAAGCAGGGAGGGTGTCTAGTTGACGTAGCGACTAGAGATATTGGCCGGAGGAATTCCAAGATGCTTTAACTCTTGGACCCACGTCTAATCCTTCGAAAGGCTGATACGCGATCTCCAGTCGCAGAAATTTCTCCGCCATTGGCATAATGCGAAGCGAGAACGGGAGTTTTCCACTCGTTGAAATATCTCTGGTCCGGTAGAAACGGACGTCTGCCTCGAAAAGGGAAGTAGTTTGCAAGTGAAATGCGAAAGGGGGAGGATGGAAAACGAAAGGGGTCGTTGAGCGGGGTCGTACCTTGAGGGAACATTTGTCTTTGGGTGCGCGATCCAGCCGCGGGCCAGTGAGACGCCACTTCGCCGTGAGGATCTCGTGCGCCTGAACGTCAATGAACATTCTTCCTGTTCAGGATCGCCATGCCCCGTGTCTTGGACCCTCTCGTATCTCGGAACGTTTTATGGCCACGCCGTGCGTGGCGTCCAATATTTCTCCATCAAACGGCTCCCCATACGCGTCACGGCATTACTACGGGCCATGGGAGAGATAACGTGGGGTAAGATGCGCGCAGTATTTTTCTGCGATATTGGGGGAGCTCGAAAATAGCTGGGAAACTCGTGCTTGCCATTACACATTCCTCTTCTCTCTTCTCTCTCTCTCTCTCTCTCTCTCTTCCTCGATTTCTCTCCGTTTTTGCGAATTGCGCGGGAATCGGAAAATCCGTTTCGATTCTTCGAACGATCGCGTCACGTGGAAAAATTTGGAAAAAGATTGGATAACGAGAGGGGATAAATCGTATACGTTTCACGCAGCAACGATTTCCCGTCACTTATATCGCGTGCCGGGAAAGGCAGGCGATTTCCATCCGCGTTCATGCTCGCCGGCAGTTCATTGGCTTTTTGCGTCGATAGCCCGTTTCGTTGCTTTATCTAACGCGTGCCACGAAAACGGGGGATGCACGCAACCGATTCGCCACTTTCAGCCTGCCTTTCCGCGCTACCGAACACGGAAAACCGATGCTCTCGAAACGATAGCATAAACGGGGAATAAATTTAATTAGGTCGTACCGCGATCTATCCAACGTGGAAACACAACTATTCCGATTTATTTATCGATTCGATTATTATTCCAACGAATCTCCGTTCTCTTTACTTATTTCCCTTATTATTCCCGTATTATGTCGTTTATTTGGAAAATAAAGAAGAATTGGATCGTATAACGTCCCTCGTTGAACGTGAATAAAAACAGAAGAGAGAGAGAGAGAGAGAGAGTGTGTGTACACACACGAGAGAAAATCCACTTACGGGCTCTGTGTCTGACACGATCGGACGTTCTCCACGTTCGTTCATCCCCCCGTGTCCGTTTCGTTTTCACTTTCATCCACCGGCTTGCACTGCCTCCTCCTACCCTCCCGCGCGGACATCCGATCGGCGTCAACGGACCCGTCAGCTAGCCTCCGCTATCCGGAACCTCCGCGGTTCCATGGCCGGCCGCGAGAACTACGTCGAACCGCACGAAACCACCCACACCACTGTCACCGAACCACCGAACAGCGATCGAAAGGGAAGCCGAGTCGAGAGAACCGGCGTGACACGCGATTCACCACGCGTCCGCTTTTGTCGCGTGCAATTGTTGTCTCCCTTGTCCTCGAATAACGTAGTATTCGAAGCGAGGAGAGCGACCGGTTGAAACTTGTTGATGCGACCTTGCGATCGAAAGTGTTTTCGAAGCGCGGGTTCAGGGACGAAGCGTTGTTACGATCAATCGTTACGCCGAGACCAGCAACCGAGACGACACTCTTTGGCACCCCCCGAAGGGCGCGCCACGCGAGCCATCGACATCCTGCTGCCAGAGCTGCCGGGCTGCTGCGATGGCCCGGGCGTCGCGATCACAGCGCCTGCGACGCCGCCACCCGTCCCACGCCGCCGACATCCTTCCAGCTACGCTCCAGTACCGTATCTACTCTTCGCTCCACGATGGAATTCGAATTCATCGCGATAAGCAGCGTGACGTTTTGTCCAATTTTATCTATGTTCCTACGACTCGTTTCTTGCTTCTTCTTCGATATTCGAGGTTTAACAACAGGGCATTGATAATTTTATTGTTTTATGGATAAAGTATATATAGTTTTTGGAAGGCGCAACTTTTAGGATGCGCGTTTTTCTTGTTGGTAATTGCGATTCGAAAGTGTTTGAAACGATTTTTAATGGAAATTTTAAGGGTCGAGAGATTGAATCGAATATGCGCAGGGGTTTGTTCACGCTAGTCACATTGGAGAAATAAATATGTATTGGAGCATGCGCTACAACTCGACAGTGGAAAAACAGTATACCGAGTGCGTTGTTTCCCGACTCACGCGTGGAAAAAATGTAATGCGTTTAATGGTGTGAAAGAGACTGAATATTCGGTAAAATTTCGTGTAATTTCGTTCGGAGTAGAAATGAAATGTTCCCACATTCGATGATTTAATCTCAAATTGAACGTAATAAGCTTGTATGAAGGAAGAAATACGAGTAATGCGCGTGACCTTCACTTGTTGCACCGTCGATCTGTAACTTCGGAAACGTAATAAATACTAGTATCACATTATTTCTTTTATACTTCTTTTTCCGTTTATTTATTTTTATATTTTTATTTTTTTTTATTTTTTTTTACAGAGTTTATTCGAAGATATACGAGTGATGTTAAAATTACATTTGTCATTCGAGAAATATCAACGGTGTTTATATTTTTTTTGGTAAGATAATAAAAATATTAGAAGGATTACACATATTTATATTTATACATTTTCTAAATATTATTTTTTTTTTTTTACATAACTTTTATCTTGTTAAAGCCGTAGAATTAAACGATATTTCTTAATTCTTTTTCAGCTTAGCATAAACTAGAAAGTAAAATATACATTGTACATGTATTTTTTCGCAAATTGGCTTCGATTAAATTCTTATCACAATTTAAAGACACAATTTTCGTGTCTGAATATTACAAAAATAAATTAATTCCCAACGCATTTTGGCCAAGCCAAACCTCCACAAGATATCGATACAATAACGTATACGACAACCTATGGGATTTAATTATAAAATTATTTGTATTCGAAAAAATATATTTTACTTCAGTTGAATTGTATTTACTACTTACAATCAAAATGGCAGCAACAATAACGTAGATTTTAACATTTTTCCAAAATAAGGAGCGTGCTAAATTTCTACTTGTTTTCCTAAACGTAACCGACTAAAAATACGCGAAATGATTATTTACTCGCATTCACCAGAATTATAATTTTTATAACTTTCAAATTTTAATAACTTACGTTGGCAGTTAAATTTTCAGTCTTGTTTACAAGTAATTCTAACCGTTCTCCCCGCATCGCAACGTTATCAATATTTTTGCTCATTATGTCCTTTAATTCGTCTAAATCGCCAAGAGCATTAGCTAATACGTCAATTTCTTGATTGGATTCGTTATAATGTTTCTAAATAAAAGATATATATGTATATATATATATATCAAAATGTAATTTAAAATGTATTTATATTTTTTACCATTGTACTGGCTAAAGTTCTGGCAAAATCTGTGTTCATTGCATATGGAACTGCACTTTGCGCATCTTGACCATAAGCAGCTAAAAATCTTCCTTTCATTTCTGCAAGATACAAAAATGCTCTGGATCTTTGGAAATCCTATGAAATAAAAGTAATTATCGATGAATTGTACGATAAATATTTTTTTAACGTGTGTATATATCTTTGATTACTTACAGCATCTGTGGTACACATATAAATAATGTTATTTTCACAGATATAATGGAATAAGTATTGTCCTTGTGAATACGTAAGTTTGTCATTTTGAGGTGGAATTTTTGTCAGAATGTTCTCTGTTACTTCATCAAAGTTTCCAGTGCACGAAGCATATTTTGCTAATATTGTTGTTCCTCGAGCCACCACGCTATATAAAATTGGCATGATGAATACTGAAATAAGAAGTGAGTATTTTAATTTTAATTTATAGTCTCTCTACTTTTAAACACTAACGAATATTAAGTTTTTTATCCATAAAAATTTGACGAAAAAATGATAAAATTTTATTTGTAACAGAATTTTCTTATCTGTTATCATGCTGAGTAATACTGAAAACATTACAATTTACAAGAAGATTTTGCTGTATTGATTCATACAAAATATATATAATATATAAAAAAAACTATTAAAATTTTCAGAATATTAAAAATTATGAAATTTTCAAAAAGAAAACAATAAAAAATATCAATCGTATATTTTCAAAATAAGACGTCACAATTTCTAACCTATAAAAAAGTTCCTCGTTAAAGTTCTTTATAAACTTTTTATAAACAATGTTTATATTCGAAGGATACCATTGGGATGCGTTAAAAATAAAATAACTTTACAATGACCAACATTTGAAATTGACAAAATCAACAATTGTTTATTTTCGTGACCTACCTCGATCACTTGGATAGCGCGAATAGATATACGATTGTGCACTTTTTCAATATTAGCCTTGAGGTAACTATTGTTCTCACTTTTAAAGTAGTATTTATGACCAATAGCAATTGATAAAAATGAACAATTAACTCATATGAACTGTTCTATGATGCATCAACAACGTCAAAGTCTATCTGTGACACATGACAGTTGATTACTACTAAAAATGTATTGGTCTGCTAGCATGCGCACTACTTGTGGCGGGTATTTTAAAAAACGTCATCGATCTTTTTTTATAAAATAAAATTAATATTATCTGTTTAAATTAATTTAAATAAGATTAGTTTAAATAATTTAATATTATGCTTAAAAATGTTTATTTAACAAAATTGGAAATTTTCTTAAATTTAGAAATTTAACGATATATTTTAAAACATCTTTTTCAAAATATGCTTTCTAGTGTGGTTTAAATTCTTAAAAAAGCGTTCCTAAAAAAATAAAAGAAATCTCTTACTCATATTATTTATATTATACTTTTAGAAACTAAACTTTTCTCTTATTCATAATTCATAATTCGTAATATTCTGATATATAAATTTTTATTTCTATGAACAATCACAACCAATAAAAAGATTTATAAAAAGAAATTACTTCAAAACATATCTTATCTTATTATAATAAATTATAAATTTGATTAGGATTTTCCTAATATTTTATATTATTCTTTATTCTTTTATATCCAGTTTGAATTTCGCTCCAAAACGTGGGAGTAGAATGCAAATGTTGGCTTGAAAACGGCGCGTGATTGGCTCAAGAAGCGCATGTCAATAATAGTGTATCAGTTTTCTAATTTTCTCAACTGCGCACAGTTCACACGTGGTCGCATGGTGACCAGTACACCGATGTTCTTACTACAATAAGGAAGAGAGGAAGCAAAGAAGTTAGCATGGATATATAAAGGCATAACGGTGTTTTTGATGCGAGAAAGAGACGCAAGTGCGTGCATACTGAAACCCAGTCAGTTTCAGTACTTTCAGTTCGTCGTCGACTGGTAGAGACGAAACCACCTTCAGCTCTCTCGTGATCGTTATCAACCATTGTCGCTGTTCTACCCTTCCTTCTGTGACTCCTGTAATATTGGCAATGATAATGGGTAAATATATTATTCATTCATAGTAAATTGTTTTATGTCATAAGTTATCATACACTAATAATTTATCATGCGAGCCTTAGAATATTCCATAAATATTGATTTCATTATATCAAAAATGTATTGATCGAGATGTTATTG